TCCGTCGCCCCTTTTGCGCACGCGGATTTTTCGGTTAAGAACTGTTATAACTTTCTTCAGTTTCAACTTTTGGCAATTTTTTGCCGCCTGTAAAAAGCTAAGAAGCTGAGAGCTCGTCAAACCATATCTGTACCCATTTCAAAATTGATGGAGTCAGAAGATAGGCCCGTGGTCCGTTCGGAGGATTTGCGATCCAGTTTTTGGCCACGCGCCGATTTTTTTGGCTTTGGGCTACATGATTTCCTCCAGGTCGATCTTTTCTAATCCTTTACCACCTGTCGAAAACGCGAAGGTTAGAGCTTACTTAGAACTTGCTCATTCCAAGATTGAGCGGTTCAACAAGTAGCTCTGCTGGTCCATTTTGTCCTCCATTTAGAACGTGAGTTTTCAAGGTTGAAATGATTACAACTCTCTCCAAAATGGATTTTTCGAAAAATAGTGAACAGACTGGAAGGCTAAAACTTTGCGCTCTATGAAAGGAACTTAATCCTTACCTTAAAACCAGCGACTAAAGTTTTCCATTTTCTTGTAATTTTCTTCTAACCCTTGAAAAGTCAATTCACTCAGGTGATCACTTTTTTCTTAACGTAGGCATGGTCCAAAACCATCGTGTGACCTAAAGAGCAAATTCGTGCCTGTGGACAATCAGATATGGACCGATTTGCTGGAACTACTTCTGCTCTGAGATGCGTCATGTACTCGTTTGTGGATAATAGTAGAAGAAGCACTCAAACGTTATACCCCTCACCTACGATCACGACAGCAAACCGTTTAATTTTGTGCTGCCGGATGAGTCCAAGTTTAGAGCTGCGAGCTTTGGGAGCATCTGTCTAACATTTCAACATTTCTGCTGTGGTCTCAGCCAGTCACTTTTTTGCACACAGAGAGCGTTAACCATCCCCTACGTTCCTACATCCTAGAAGACCTCAACCCAATGCGACGCTGACCACCTTCCATTGTCTAATAGAAGACCTCAACCTAATGCGACGCTGACCACCTTCCATTGTCTAATTACGACCCCCTTGTTTAACTTCGATCAACGCGAGGTTGGCCGTGCAAGGGAGCGTGTGGAAGGATGCCTGTGTGGGAGGAGGGGGAGGACGGCGGTCACTAAACAGATGACGCATTGACTCTAAGAATAGAATTCGGAGAGTAGACATAGCGATCGATCGATTATAGTGCAACAAAGGAGTGAACTAAAAGCTGCAGACAAGTGAGAAGGCCGAAAAATTTCCCCAATAACGGTATTTCAAGAGCCAAGCCGAAGCATTCCCGGCGCCAATATTTGTGACAGATGCGCGGTGGCAATTCAAAAGAGTAACACTTTTTTTCTAGTTTTCCAAAATGTTAACCAAAACAAGAACAGTTCTATCAATATTTTTATAAGAAATCACGCTCACGGTAACCATCCAAGGATGGGAGGGGGTAAAATCATGAAGTTTTCTGTGTATCATTTTCAATGGAGTAGCTGAGCGTTCCGTTCTTTGCACCTTGTCCTGAGGCTCTCCCTGCTATTATTAGGCTGAGTCATAAGTAATTGCCGATTTCTTCAGACCCACGCCATTTTTCCCAGAAAACGTTTGTGTTGTTCCCCGCAGAGCAGTATGTGGCGACCTGAGTGTCCTTTCATATTACGAAATTTGACCGTCAGTACTCGTCTTTTGGGAGAAATAATGCCGTCCTCTTCAACACATGTTCGTCACTGTCTATTTTACGAGTTCCGCCTGGGGCACTCAGCAAGAGGAGATATTTGTGTATCTGGAGGACCAGACTCGCTAAATGAGAATATCTATTGAATTGGTTCGGGAAGCTTCGCCAGGGCGACTATAACCCTGAAGACCGACCATGTTTTGGACACCCAATGGCCGTAGATATTGAACGCATGCAAGAGCTTCTTGAAGGCAACCCGGTACCAGTACCCGTCAAACTGCAGTAGACCTTCAGTCCTCCCAGTGCACCATGTGTCGTTCCCTCTGAGCCATGGAGAAATTGTACACGCTGGGAAGATGGAATTCTCACGAGTTGGACGAGGTGGCTCGAAGGACACGTGTGATCATCTCACAAAGTTTGCTGCATAAAGCCGTTGTTTCGATCGGCTTGACAAGGGGTCACTGGGGTTGAGGAGTGCGCAGTCTAGCCAAGCAACCTACGGAGGCATCAGTGGGAACGTGCAGCTCAGCAGCGACAACGAGCCCCAATAGGTGAACTTCACCCGGAGTAGGTTCCGCTCTCCGATTGTAGGATTGCTTCATTACAGACTTCAAACAATACCACCACTGCTGGCGCAGACACCTACTGCTTACAGCTGATAAACTTGCTTCGGATATCGCAAAGTTGAGGCTTCCAGTAATGAAATTGTTCCACTGCGCGGCAGCTCGCAACCCACATGTATCGAGAGAATGCCAGAATACTATACAGAAACTTGGCCTCATGATTTTCCCCCACTCTTTCTAATCCACTGAGGTATAGCAACCAATCACCAGTTGTTCCGCTTGCTCGTTTTCTTAGGCTGGTGTCAGAGTCCGCGATTCGATTTGCGCGATTTTCGCGATTTGCGCGATTTTCGCGATTTTCGCGATTTTCGCGATTTGCGCA